CGACCTCGGTGAATTTAACCGGTTACGACGGGTAACCCGGGAACCGATGCCCCGGACCCAACTTACCGGATGAAAGTGGACAGGAGACCCCGTGGAGACTCAACTGCCCCGTGGACGTCATCCTAGTCGGAATAGGACCCCGGACAGATTTTTGCATTTTTTTTAGCATTTTTCCTAACAAACGGAATTGTATTTTTCTAGTTCGATCTCTTTGACAGATCTGTCTTGTAACCCCTTTGCTCACTGGAATTGTGATTAAACTTTATTTCATACTTTCTTTCGCGCTGTATACAACTTTCATTACACTTTTCTTTCACATTGTTCTCCGTTGCCAACAGAAGCAAGAAGCCAGCCAACAGAAGCAACACCGGTCCAACGAAACGCCCGAGCGGCTTCCGGATTTTTCGGCCGTGAGTGGCTTCCACTCATGGGTTCGGAAGTGAAGAAGGGACGGTCGACCAGACACCGGACTCCCACTGCCAGAGGACGCGTACCAGCGACCCCACATTGGGTCCGACTGGAGAGTTGTGCGGTACTGGTGCGGTACCGAGTCGGAGCATCCTTCGCAGGAGCTCGGATTCCCGCCCAGAGGCATGTCAGAGGCACATGACTGCGCCTGGTGCATACGGCCCACCATGGACGTACTGCACTCATGCTTGCCATATCGCCTCTCTCGCTGTACGTACGTGTGCTGCTGCACTGCACTCATATCCGCTGAAGCGGATATACGCGGCGCACACTGAGCATACTTGCTCTTCGTCCTCTCGCGGCGACTCAGTTCATTCATGCTCGCGTTGGATTGAGCCCAGTCTGCGCATCATCACACAGCTGATGGCACACAGCACGTGCTTGCCGCCAGTTGCTTCTTTCACGCCTTGACGAACGCTCAAGAGCTCTTCTAGCATTCACTTGCTTGTTTAGCCATCAGTGCTTTGTTCTTGCATTCCCTGCTATTACGCAGCATTGTTCCTTTATTTGTACAATAAAGCACACTCGTGATCTCCTCGCGCTTGCCTGTTACAATAAATAAATTTTTCTTGCAGATTAATAATGACTGTTGAGTTTTTTTAATTTGTTTGGTTTTGTAGATAAGCAGATTATAATTACGAGGATGCGCGCAGTCTGACCAACAGTGAATTAATTCAGTGAGACCAACCTATCACCACGCACATAGACAGATTGTCTTTTCACTTAACAGCCACCCCGTAGAAGAGAGCTATCATCTGCACTGCATATGTTTGTACAGTTGACGGATCCGTAAATGGTTGGCAGTCGCATGCACTATGTGCTTGGCTGTCGGTGCGCTTTCCAACAAAATTTATTATCGGTTCGACTACGCGCATCTTCGTAGCTAAATAAATAACTTGTTGTCAGTTAAGGGATTTGGCCCGGTACACAGCACCAAATTCGTGTACATCCACGGGAACTTTCGCTGTCGCGCACTCAAAATTACACTTTTTTTTGTATAGCTTTATGGTATTTCGAAGCCAAAAGAACTGTATACGTAAGTGTGAAATCCGTTTGCGCCCGCAACATCCGGTTGCGGGGTTATGACGGCAACAAAATTTCAAAAAGTTCAAATGTCAGGTGTACCAAAAGTCTTATTATGGACCGATCCCGTTCAAATTTTGCACGTAAATGCACAAAACGTTGACTTATACGGACGGATCCAGACTTCCACGATTTTTACACGGATCCAGATTTCCACGGTTTTTTTCGAATTTCAAAATGAATTTTAAACTTTTTGAAATCTTTTAAAATTTGAAAAACATGCAAAAACAATGGATCGGTGTAAGAACGATCTTCATGTTTATGCGCATTTGCGTGCGAATGTAGGAGATCGGTCCATAATGAGACTTTGGTACACCTGAAAGCATTTTAACTTTCTGGAATACTGTTACCGTCATCACTCCGCAACCGGATGTAGCGCGCGCATACGGATTTCACTCCTACGTGTACAATTCGTTTAGCTTCGAAATACCATAAGCAATGCAAAAAATTGTTTGTGAGTGCGCGACAACGATAGTCCCTGTGGATGTACACGAATGTGGTGCTACGTACCGGGCTAAATCCCTAAAAAAAGTAAAAGGCAAAGTACCAGCGCAGATTATTCCCGCCAAGAGCGCCATAAGACTGAACCGACCGCCCTCGGGATCCGCCACACGATAAAGATTCTCATGCGATGCGGCCGCAGTGCGCCCCGTACCCGTTGGTGACTCGGACTGGAAAATTGAGATGCGCTTCTCCGACGATGGATATCCTGGGATTACCGCATAGCGATCCTGACGAGCAGACAAACTGGATCGATTATGGAAGTAATCCAGAACCCACGAATCGTTCGCGTACAGCGGATTATCTGACCAGCTTCCTGGAAATGACGTTTAAAAACAGCCGCCTTATTGAACTGCTGTATTCGATTCTTGAACGATAAGATGAACGACGAACTCATGAAGACGATAAATTCTATATTTTTACTACTTATCTTGAAGATAGGTGCTGTACAGCGCCAATCTCGCTTTTGTTGAACCGCTCAATATTCCGCTTATTGCCCATCCCGAAACCGACAACGAACATCCGGTACGCCCCGGTGAAATTGTAGCCTTGAGTACCCGGTACCGGCATGATCGACCAGCTCCAAAACCAGACCCATACCTTAGAAGAAAAGATAGATGCTGCTTTATCACATTTTGATGTATGATTTCTGAATTGTTTGAATAATTTAAAATTTAAATAATTTAAGCTTACTTGCGCTGTGATTATTACACGGCATATTCGGCTCCAGATCGGTATACAATAAAAAAGAATGTCCTGTTCGTTGTACTGGAGGCCAATACGAGCTGCCAGTTGTACTGCAGCTTCGTGGCGGGAAGGCAGCCATTTTGGACCGTCGCTTCGCACACTGCCTGCAAAACGAATCAGACACCCAGCATTTGTTCGCTAATTGGAAAGCATCTGCATTACTTGACCTTGGTAATGCCGCTGACCGGCTCCAGGATTCTCGGCAGTGGAAGCCGGTGACACTGTTGGCGGTGTCGCCGAAGAACAGCCGACCCACCGGGATGGCGGAGAGGGCGGTGCGGTTAATTCCGAACTGGCCGTCGGCATTCGAATTCCCAGTTAAGGATGAACCTGCAGATGTCGAACTATGCATTATACAGTGTGACCTTTCAAACAAGTGAGTTGCGAGCTCCTAATTGCTTTTTTCAAAGCGCATTCGTGCAGTCCATAACTTATGTTCATATGCAGCACGTTAATTATGAAAGCGAATTGTGCGAGGAACTCCCAGTTATGAATCCATGAGAGACATTATTTTTCCAAATTTATAAATCGTTTTATCAAAAATCTAATAATGGATTAAAATTCGGTATGAATTTTACAAGTATGCAGTATAACGCGCAGCATCACGAAAAATCAACCACATTTCCATCGTTTCATTGTAAATTTCCACAGACTTGAATTGCAACATGCAAAAGGTCATCAAACCAGATTTCCCAGTACTAAGCAGATTCAAGATATTCAGCAAAATGACCTGTAAACTGCGACTTTTTCGAATCGTATTCTTCAATTAAACTTTGCCGAAAACGCTTGACATACCAAAATGGTTGCAGACCAGCGGCTCCGTCGCTGCTACGCACCGTGACTTCATTCGCCTGGGTGATATCGCTGATGGGAAGCGGTACCAACCAAGCGGGTTGCCCGTAGCTTCCAACAACGGACGTGTAATGATCATACACGGCTTAACGCCGAAGAGATGTGGCGCATGTCGTACGTTGATCAGGATCAGGACTCACGTAAACTAAGACGCCTTCCATTTCCAGTAGTTGGCGCTTCTGATGCGTAGCGCGGTATTTGCAAAACACAAACATTTTGCCAAGAGAAATCAGAGCAAAGAGAAAGGTCAGGTGGCTGAAAATAATTGTTGTATCGTCGAAAAAAGTTAGTCGCATTAAAATTCGCGGATTCTCATTAACGAGGCCTCGTTGATCATTTGACGCACACTGTCCTAGTAAACGCATCGTAATTCAAAGTCGGAAGCTGTGAGACGTGTTTTATGAAGATTTAGTGAGTAAATGAATAATTTCGCAGTAGATATTCACCAGTTTAACTGCCGTAATTAAACAGCAGAAACGTTACATAAGATATATGTTTTAAGTTAACAAAGTTTTCGGGGGTACTTGGAATAGGAATAATATATAAATGTAAAGATTAATTATGATGCAGAAAACCCTCCTGAATCTGTTTACTGCATCCGTACAGAATATTGCAAATTTGCAAATTTAAAATCGGAAAATGTAGATTGAACTATTAGTATAGTTGCGACTTACAAGCGTGCAGCTTTAAAAAGAAAACTGTTTACTGTGGACTGGCAACGCAGTTCGCAGATACCCCCAAAATGACAGTAATCCGTGAACGGCATGGTAGTTCTTAAACACTGAATGAAATCATAAATCAGTCATTAATGCTTGATCACATCAGTTTGATTGGAGCGATCGGTAAAGAATCCCACGTGTGCGTCTCTCAGCATATCAGTTAAATTTTGCAAGATTGAAGAATTCAGCGTAAGATACGACAGACTCGCCCCACCCGCGCTGTCTACAATCCTATGAGGCCAACGGCATGGTGGTATCGCGGAACCCGTCGCGCAGAACCATCAGACGGCCAAGAAAAATATGAAAACGCAATGCATTCTCGAATCAATAATAAATTGAAAATAATTCAAGTATAAAACAATGGTTTCTGCATCTCCTTTGCAAAACCTGGATCGTTCGAAAATTTCTAAGCTTGATACAGTGACGGAATCGATGCGGTCTCGTCGACACAATGCGGACTCCTGCCGGCGCTAAGCAACATCAGCTACAAACGCATCGCGAATCGAACCTAATTTCTGCAGCCTGCAAAGCATAATATCACTGCGCCCCAAATATATACTTGTATAGCATATTATCACTGCAAAGCACATATCAGCATACAGTTTGGTGCGGTTACCGGTGCATGTGTATTCACTTTTCTTGATAGTCTATAGCTCAGAATGTATAAGGAATTTTAATAACATTTTCCTGTTTTTATTATGACGGAATTAACTAATGCTCGTAATACCAAGCAGAAATTTCTAGCCCAATTATCTCTTCTGCACGCTGAATCGCAATCGCAAACGGTAATAGCGCAAACGAGCGTTTGTCGACAAGAAGATAAAATGGTTAGAACAGGAAAAAGCACAACTGGAACAAGAGCAAGCGGGGTATTATACAGTAATTAGTTAAAGGTCAAGTTTTCACAAAACTTTGTTATATTGGATCGTCTCCGTTCACACTCGCACAACAGTGCCCATAAGAAACTGCAAGCATCGTTCCGTGAGAAGTCCGTAGACCCCGAGCGGAATCTGGGTTCATTCCGGGAGGACGAAAAGAAAATATGTACGCGGACTAGTTCCGCTTTGATGAGATTGACAAGCTTAAAATCGGTTAATGTCCGACGGCACGCTGAGGAAGAGAAAACGTTGCCGCTGCATCAACTTCACGAGGTATCTTGGGTTTTGTCTTAAATCCCCTTAGCAGTTCGAAGAACTCTTCATACCAAATTTATTTGAAAATTACCTAAAAACGACTTTATCAGTTGTCATTTAGATGGAACTGGCTGTACAGAAAGCCAAAAGGCAAAACCGAAATGACCCAGAGTAAAGCCACCAATCAGGATCAGCTGCTGCTGTTGGAGAACAACACTGACGGCTTACGGAACACCGCCAAGCACTTGTCGGATCTCTATATTATATAAGTGAGAGCGTTAGATTTCACAACTTTGATATCTGTTTTACGTTAAATTATCGTGGTGACAACTTTTTAATTTTGTCAGAATGGAATAGCTTGCTAACGATGGACTGAGACGATTGAGGGACGATCTACTTCATAATAAGGAAATCCAGCCACAATCAAAAATAAGCGCACACCTAGTGTTCCTGTACATATGCAGGATAGATCGTGTTATAAGAATCTTCATTAAAAATTAATAATCTCTTTAATAAATTATCTCATCTCAGTAATCTCATTAAGTCATTAGGTCATAGAAGTCTAGATCGATAATTAACGTTTCACATATTTTTTTCGAAATCTGTGGAAATACGTACGATCGGCAACCTACGTACGGTGATTCAATTTTCTAAGAATATACATAATTGGTGGTGATTAATTCGCTATAACGCACTTACTGTTGTATGAAACGCAGACAGATGATTTTTTCGACTAGTCAGTTTCTAGAGCATTTTCGGTGGACCGGGTACATCATTGCAAAGCACCGAATGCATGCATCAAGTGAAACAGAGGAAAATTCTCCGTAATTTGCTCAACACTTCCAAAAAAATCCGTATTAATTCAATCAGCTCGTTATATTTCAGACAACGAATTAGATGCAATTTTCGTTCATCGACATTAAATCGTCAATGCCCGCATTCGGCTGTTCTCGGTCCCGATGTTTCGGGGACTCGGAATTCTTGCTAACTGTTCTCCGGCTTGAATTTTATTTACTCAGTACCGGTTTATAAGCGCGAACGCTTGACTTTTGTACAAGTACGCCAGTGATCTTAAAGACGGCCACTTGATTATCGTTTTACCGTGTAATGATCGTACGACTCGATGACTTCGATTAATGGTGGCCCTGAGCGCGGTAGTTGTCGATACGTCCCGCGACCCATTGGATACAAGTTATTGCGTACTGTTCGCAATAATTGTCACCAGCATATAACGGCGGCAACCGATCACCCTCATCGGTCTGCTTGGCGCTGAACATCCGTGCTAGCGTCTTTGTAAACCGAACCGCATCGCTCGATCTGTTCCCGGCAAAAATCCCTTCGGACTGAAGCACGCCAGCACCGTAATCGAAGATATCACCAGTCTCCTCAGCATGGCGTTGTGGGATTACTTCTTTGTCTCGATGTACCGGGAAACGCGGAAACCCAATCGTTGTGTTGTGAGGAGGCTCCACTGGACCAGGAGACCCCACTGGGCCAGGAGACTTCACTGGACCAGGAGAGCCCTTTAAGCCACGAGACTCCGCTGGGCCAGGAGAATTCACTGGGCCCGGTGACTCCACTGGGCCTAGAGAGTCTTTTAGGCCTGGAGACTCCACCGGGCCACGAGACGTCACTGGATCAGGAGTCCTGTAGGCCACGAGACTCCACTGGGCCAGGAGACCCCACTGGGCCAGGAGACTTCACTGGGCCAGAAGACTCCACTGGGCCAGGAGAGTCCTTTAGCCCAGGAGACTCTACTAGGCCAGGAGACTTCACTGGGCCAGGGGAGTCCTTTAAGCCACGAGACTTCGCTGGGCCAGGAGAATTCACTGGGCCCGGTGACTCCACTGGGCCAAGAGAGTCGTTTAGGCCTGGAGACTCCACCGGGCCACGAGACGCCACTGGATCAGGAGTCCTGTAGGCCACGAGACTCCACTGGGCCAGGAGACCCCACTGGGCCAGGAGACTTCACTGGGCCAGAAGACTCCACTGGGCCAGGAGAGTCCTTTAGCCCAGGAGACTCTACTAGGCCAGGAGACTTCACTGGGCCAGGGGAGTGCTTTAAGCCACGAGAATCCGCTGGGCCCGGAGAATTCACTAGTCCAGGGGATTCCACTGGGCTTTGAAAGTCCTTTTGGCCACGAGACTCCGCTTGGCCAGGAGACTTTCCTGGCCCAGGTGACTCCACTGGGCCAGGAGAGTCTCCTGGGTCTCCTGGCCAGTGAAGTCTCCTTGCCCACTGGAGTCTCCTGGCCTAAAGGACTCTCCTGGCCTAGCGGACTCCACTGGACCAGGAGACTTCAGTGGGCCAGGATAGCCTTTTATGCCACGAGACTCCGCTGGGCCAGGAGAATTCACTGGGTCCGGTGACTCCACTGGGCCAAGAGAGTCCTTTAGGCCAGGAGTCTACTGGGCCAGGAGGCCCCACTGGGCCAGGAGACTTCACTGGGTTAGGAGTCCTGTAGGCCACGAGACTCCACTGGGCCAGGAGACCCCGCTGGGCCAGGAGATTTCACAGGGCCAGGAGATTCCGCTAGGCCAGGAGAGTCCTTTTGGCCAGGAGACTCCACTGGACCAGGAGACTCCACTGGACCAGGGTACTTCAATGGGCCAGGAGAGCCCTTTTAGCCACGAGACTCCGCTGACCAGGAGAATTCACTGGGTCCGGTGACTTCACTGGGCCAAGAGAGTCTTTTAGCCCAGGAGACTCTACTAGGCCAGGAGACTTCACTGGGCCAGGGGAGTCCTTAAAGCCATGAGACTCCGCTGGGCCCGGAAAATTCACTAGTCCAGGGGACTCCACTGGGCTTTGAGGTCCTTTTGGCCACGAGACTCCGCTTGGCCAGGAGACTTTACTGGGCCAGGTGACTCCACTAGTCTAGGAGACCCCACTAGGCCAGGAGACTCCACTGGGCCAGGAGGGTCCTTTAGCCCAGGATACTCTACTAGGCCAGGAGACTTCACTGGGCCAGGGGAGTCCTTTAAGCCATGAGACTCCGCTGGGCCCGGAAAATTCACTAGTCCAGGGGACTCCACTGGGCTTTGAGGGTCCTTTTGGCCAAGAGACTCCGCTTGGCCAGCAGACTTTACTGGGCCAGGTGACTCCACTAGTCTAGGAGACCCCACTAGGCCAGGAGACACCACTGGGCCACGAGACTCCGCTGGGCGAGTCTCGTGGAACAACACAAGCGATTCAGGTGGGTGCGAGTATGCGCCAACAGTCTACTGCATTCTGTCCACAAAAAACGCGGAAAGTGTGTACGCTAAACTGTTTCGCGCTAAACTGTTTTTGCAGATTTCGCGCCATTTCTGGCTTTGTGCTGTTGAGAAGCAGCATAAAATGGATGGTTTATTTGAAATTTGTGCATAGTTTGGTCAAAAGTAGAATGCAAGAAAATGTTTCAAATCGGCTTGACCTGCGTTCGTTTCTTCGCTCCTTCTTCTTATTCATAGAATCATAAGATTGTTTTAGTTTGGGCAGTAAAAAAAATATGTCAATACCAGTGCATCACCATGGTGTATAATACCTCTTATAATAAGATATTTGTCTTCCTTGCTGAGGTTGTTATGTTTTTCATTTATTCAGTTAAACGGCACAACGCCAACAACAGTTAGATATTAGTTATAATACAGTTTATAGGGAATTTAAAGAAATAGGAAAATCGTGTTAAGCGTACCCACTCAGAGCAGATGGCAACACTGCTTTCGCCGCCTGGAATAACGTAGCTTTTACCTGCAATGCATAATAATTTTAGTTGTCAAACCCATTTATATAATTATAGTAAAGTAACACTAGTGCTCTCGAACTTGCATTATAGAAATGCAGTATAGTATCTTTTCCCAGTTCGGTAAATTTTGATAAGCAAAACAAAGGTTGTTTGTGTCCGATCGATTGCCATTCGTTAACATTTTTTCTCACTATTAATTTAATGCACTAAATTTGTCTGCCATCGTTTTCCGCTTACGGCAAGTTTCAACAGCACGGATGCAAGAGTTCTGATTTAAGTTTCGAAAGCGTCGACTTCACAATTTTAGATACTTGGTCAGTATTAGTACCTGGAGTTTATCCGCTTTATTCTGAAAATGCATCGGAAGTTGTCGAAATTCGTTGGCTAAACGGAGGCATTCACTAACATGCTCCGGCGAAAGAAAATCCTCTGCCACCTTTATGCAACTGTATAAATTCCAAACCTGCAATTTTATCAGTTTCGAGAGCGAACAGCACAGCCATGCAATATTATTGACAACAGACTGTCAAACATTCAAGTGATGTCGATACGAACTGGCAAAAATATTATTTTGGATTATTTTCGGAGTTAAGCGCTCTCACTTGGTGCAGCGCGCCAGCCGGTATGAATATCGCATCACCGGCGAACTGGACGATAGTCATGCCTTCCACTCCGGTTTCCTTCAACAGGCGCTGCTGGAATTCTACAGTCAGGAACTCTACCTGACTGTGGAGCGGATCCTCTCCATTCTCGTGATCTTCGCGGTGTTTCTCCAAAAACTCTCGGATCTTCGCCGTGTCTGTCGGCTGGTAAATTTGCCACACGGCGCCCGGCACGCGACCTTCACTGAGTCGTTTCCTGGTACTATTATCCAATTTTAATCCCCAAACATAATTCTTTGCGTCAATGAAAACGAAAATATTTATTTAATGATAAGAGTAAGCTTGGTAAGCTAATGAAAGAATAAGAACAGGTATGTGACCAGAGCAAGCTGTCCGCAATAAAATGGTGCAGAAACAGGAGAAATGATTGCCGCCGTAAGTATATCATTCTATGCCCGCAGAGCAGCACTGGTACTTACCTCTCACATATCTTTCGTCAGCCGGCTTGCTAACATTAACCAAAATATTCACGGCATCGCTGATGTCCAAGTGAAGGTATGTAGTGGCATTGTCTGGCTGTCCCACCATACCTACACGCAATTCAACGGTAATCTAATTCTGAATGCAAAAACACTATTGTATTTTAAATAATAATAAAACTAAATCGCATGCGACAGTTGTTAGCAAATTAATACAGCAGAATATTTTGGTTGGCATACACGTTGGTTTAACGGAAGTCGTTCTAAAGCAAAATCGTCGTTAAATGCAGCGGCAAATTTATTTATCAATCAGAAAAAATAATATAAAAATGTTTTGACCAAAGCACCGACTGCTCGGCTGCAAACAAAAGACAGAATTATGCAAATTTTGAAAAGCCAGCTGGGCAGAAAATTAATACATTAAAGACGGCATTTCCGGCAGTATCGTTTTGCAGTTCTATAACTGCGGCAGTCACTGACTGTAATCTGCAGCAGCTTCCTTAACTTACCATAGGCAATATACATTTTTGGACCGAGGTCCGGTGGATTAAGATGTTCCGGTAAATACGACGCCAGGTTCAGACGACCTTTCTCGTGCGTGTATTGGGCTAGAGGCAGCGCATCGAACAGTGTTCGGTGGTGCAATGGGAGCGATTCGCAGAACCGGGAATCCGTTGGCCAGTCCTTAATTTTCAGGAGCAAACGATTTCCGTTTGTATCAGTAACACGATCTACGCAAAAAGCACAAAATAACTAAGTTTCCAAATTTCACACACAACGGTGAGGCTCACAGGAAATTGATTTTACCTACGCTTGCATCCACTAAAACATAACTAAACTCTTTGAAATTAAGTACTGCTTTTATTAGCCTATGCATGCCTTCAGTTGCGGAAAAGCCTTTCCAAAAATCCATGTGTTTTTTCCCTGTGATCCGCTGATGTGGTTTGGCCCCACAGTCAATTAAATCTACTTTTTCTTCTCCAAATTTGGCAGCAAACCAAGAGGGCTGCCATATGCCCTGCGAAGAAACCTTCGGATCTGTGAGTGATTGTCCAACTCCGGCGATAACCACCGGAAGGCCTTTCGACCAATGGGCACGAAAGGCTTCAGTGTCGATTCCGTTAGGAGATTGCAACAACAGAACCTGGCCGTTACATAGAAAATCACGTTGTTCCCAGTCAATGCTTTCGCCACTATTCGCAACCGATCCGTCGGCAGACAGCGCCAAAAACTGAGTAATCCCACTCTGCACCATTCGAACAGCTAAAACATAAAGCAGTAAACGTTCTGGCAGAAGTGTCAGCGTGAAAACGTATCATTAGTTTACTGTACGAACGTTAATGTGCCTTAAAGCAGCCGTGTTACCTTCCAGTGGAATTATACGCGTTGGCAGAAGATGGTGATCCGACTGTCCACCGACTGAGCGGCTAGATTTGGGCAGGGTGCTTCCGGCAGGTTTTGTCGGACATAGATGCCATCCCCGATTATCGCATGGAACACCCAGAACTTCTCCGCGGGGGATGCTGCCGCCGGCTGGCGCTTCTTCCGCCTCACTCCGGTTAAGCACTAAAAATTAAACAATAAATTTCTTAGTTTCGTAGAATATTCAGGGCGAAGTGAAATTTGAATGTAAACATTTTAGTAAACTCGTTGTAAGCTAACATACCAGCAAACTCGGAGTAGCACTCTGGACACACACAATATCCGCAATGCAAGCACACAAAATGCGCATTGAACAAGCAAGCCAGGCAAACGTCACAGCTTTCAGTCATTCCGAAGGGAATGCTCTTTACGGCGGGGCCGCCGTCATCAGGCGCAGCGTGCTTTGCCAGAATACTCTCGTGCTGGTTCAGTAAGTCTAACAAAATAGTGCCTACTTTTGACAGCACATATGATGCTTCTTCCGGCGAAGCGCGCGGTGCGTTTGGCACACTGCGTAGCCGTCGTCCGTTCGATCCGTGACATCCCAGTAAGGCACTTAACGTATCGGAAAACCACAAACGTCCCTCTTCGGCAACGTAACAGTCTTTAATGTCGCCATCATTTACCAAATCCAGCTTAGCAGCCGGAATTATTGCTGCGTCGGACTCGGATGGCGTGTCTTTCGTAAGGCGGATGCTGAAAGTACAGAAAATATTTTGGACACACAGCCAACGTAAATCCGAACAATTTCTACCGGAAACTGTGTTTGGAATTAGCGCAGGGCTACTTTAGCGCAGCGTGCGGCAAAATAGCAGCAAGATTATTTTGGCGCACGAATTACTGCGGCCAATAGCATGAGCCTATATTTATGGTCCTACTGGACAAGGAGAAGTGACAGTGCCGATTACGGGTTGGATGCTTAATAACACAAATACCATCGCAGACGAGCGTTATTGAAGCGGCAATCCTTCTTTGCTTTGTTTCGATGCTTGGTACGTTTCGGCTGACCGGTCTCGTAGCAGTCAAAACAGACTGGGATTGTTTGCACGAGGTCAGACGGAATTGCTTGTCTGGCCATCTCTCTTTTCATGGCATCACGCCATAACTGACAGCGTTTCTTCTGTACAAAAACAGCCGTAGTCGATGTGGAACGCTTTTTGTCTTCAGCTGTAGATGCAGAGCACCGGTTCGAGAAGGAGGACTTGCCCTGGGCGGGGACAGGACTGGCAGTAGCGCTGCAGTCTTCACCTGGTGAAAACTCATTCACTTTGGGACACTAAGGAAACAGAGGGAACATATACAGCACTTTCCCGTGGGTCTTTCTATCCGTTTGTAATTTCTTTAAGGGAAATGGCCCGGTACATGGTGTCAAGAGGGGAATACATACACTAAAACTTTCGCTTTCGCGCACTCCGAATCACTTTTTTGTAATATTTTGTGTCATTCTAAAGCTGAATGATTTGTGTACATGGCTCAGAAAACCGTTTACGCGGCAACATCCGGTTGCCGAGATATGGCATACTAAAATGGGTGAAAAGTTTAAATGCATTATTGTGTACCAAAAGTCTGGTTTTAAGCCGATCATCCCGAAACTGCTGCAAAATACACATAGCCATGAAGTCGAAAGTGAACCAATTTCAGGTTCATATCGTTTTCCCATAATTTTAAAATGCATTTTAAAATTTTTGAAATTCATTTTAAAATCGGGAAAAAATGCTACGATCCTGAAATTGGTTCACTTTCGACTTCATGGCTATGTGTCTTCTGCTGTAAAGTTTCAAGATGATCGGGTAATAACCAGACTTTTGGTACACAACAATGCATTTAAACTTTTCTCCCAATTTTGTACGGCATATCTCGGCAACCCGATGTTGCGCGTGCAAACGGTTTCCAGAACAATGGATACAAATTATTTAGCTTTAGAATGATATAAAGTATTACAAAAGAGTAAAAAAGACTGCGCGAAAGCGAAAGTTTTAGTGCATGTATCTTATTTTGACGCTATGTACCGGGCCATTTTCCTTAATACAATTACGGTACAGCGTAACTCACAAAGTAGATGAGACAATGGGAACTAGAAATCATGATTTTGGATCACTCACCTCTATGCCGATTGGGTAATCATCGGCATCGCTTTCCATCGACAACCTGGAGTTGGGCTGCCGGTTCTGCGTCGGTGCTGACGGAATCTCCTGCGAATGCTGTGATTGACTGGTAGGCGCCCGATGATTTACAACATCTTCGACGACCGAAACCGGCGAATACTGCGGCAGGAAATTCGTCTGTTGTTCGGAACGGCACCCGACCGCCGGGACGCTCAACGTCCTACACTGGTCACGACGGCTTTCCTCATCTTTGGTTAGCAGTGGCGCGCGGGGCACGGTTACTAGTTGCTGTACTGTACGCTTCTTGCTTGGACTGGTGTCTGGGACGTTTCCTGTGGGTTCACGGAAGTTAAACTGTGATACTTAATTTAGCTAATCATATCGCTGATACCAGGCTTTAAGCAGCAAGAGACGTCGGCAACGACTAGGGATCGTTTCGGGCTCTTTAATGTAATTATAACGGGCCTTTTGCGTGCTGGTGATATGGATGGCGAGTGACCTGGGGCCTGTTTCTGATCAGCCGCCCCGCTACGAACTGGTACGGCTTGACAAGACGATGGCAACGTATGGCAAAGCTCTATGCTGGCTCCTGTAATGAAAATAGTGATGATTATGCTCGTAATAATCGGATTCTGTTGATCGTTCACAGGGGAACAGTTCTGACACTGCTGTTACTTCATAATATTATATGCACAGCTCACAGTTAAAGCAGTACCTAAATACTCGCGCCCTGCGTTTTTGCAGATCGGTTTGCGCTTGTTAAAGGTTCATTTCTGAAAGATATCTCTAAAGTGGACCTTGACCATGGTTATGTTACATTTTCAGCTAACGCCTGAACACTCTTAGCACAATATTATGGAAATTCGTGGTCAAGCAATCAGTCACGCGGCATAATTTCCGCCAGATACAGAAATTGTTCGACAATCACCATTTTCTCTCTTTGCAGGTAAGAGTTCATGTAACATAGAAGACGAAAGTTTTAAGAACCGCTGGTACGGCTGCCACGCTTTGTCGACCAAGCGCAAAATCGGAGGGTGGCGCATTATATTTCTGTATACCTATAAGGGAAACATTATATTTCTGCCTACACCTTCCTGAAGCGGAGACTCGCGATATAGTGCCAAGTTGTAAACCATGTTAACGTAGTCCTTTTACTAAAAAAAAGGTTTTTAGTACGTAGTAATTTGTGGTTAGTCGGTGTCAATATTAGCGAGGTTTTGCTCCCTCAGAAACTGCTGGTGTTGCGATTATTTTATTTACCTTCGCCAATGCTGGCCTCCGAGCCTCTTCCAGCCAGACCAGATGGCGCCAGGCCTGTGGCGTCGAAAAGTGTCGGAATCGGGTTCATAGTGCCACCGGTCACCGCTGGTAAACTCGGTGCAACAATCTCCACACTCTGCGCCGCCAGCGGGGAAAGCGGAAGAGGAAGCTGAGGATCCGGTGCCGGCGGATCCACAGGCTCCCCCGGATCCGCGGTAACGGCGGGAGATATGTTCTCGAGGCGCATTGAATGGTTCATCAGTGAAAAAGGGCCCGGGGGTAGTGCTGATTGGGAATCGTTGTGGTGGTGCGTGCACAGGATCCATTTGAATCAGGCCCTGAGCTGAATTGCTCAACGGCAGGGTCTGCGCACCAGGAACAGGTGGACAGAGGTACCCAGATTGATTCTGCTCCCTCGCATCCAGCCGCTGCACCAACTGGTTTAACGTTGCATCCATTCTCATCATTTGACTAAAGACAGTCACAGATAAAAAATACGGAAGTTTAAAAAATATAAATAAAAAACGAATATATAAAAAACGGAAGTTTTCCTACAAGTCTACAACGTTCATAGAAGTATCTTTTCGGGTCACACAGTGATTTTCATAAAGGTGGCAACACGCCAACACGCAAGCATACGGGCTGGTATGCGTTAACACCGTTTCGAGGAAGCGTAGTACACACATTGCATGTAGACAGTAGAACTAAACCAGTTCCATGAAACTTCTAATGCATTATGGATGCACGATCTGGAAAGTCCGCTATGAATAAAAACTGACCTGAGCATGCCTTGCTGAAATGACAAATCCATTCCGTGTGTATAATGTCCGCCGCCAAATGAGCTGCCTATCCCATGCGTGTAGGGGAACGGTTGCCGTTGGTGCGCCGACATGGAGGGAATATTGGCATTATAGGTATTCTGCTGATATGCAATCGGTGTCTGGAAGGAAACATTTGGCTCCAGTGACGGAACCGCTGGCCCATACGATGGTGCGAGGAAAACAGGGTGTGCAGTTTGCGGATAGGGTGCTGTCGCATGCGCATACTGCGGGAGCAGTCCATATAACTGCGGAAGGAATGTTGACGCTGCGTTAGCGCTCCATGCCAGACCATTGGACTGCGAAAGGGATGGCGCTGCATTAACGCTCCACCCTGTAGGAAGGTTGTTGTTCATGATGGCCTGTTTCGTCTGTTACAGGAGCGTCACGTCTCGAATTCGAAGAGAATGTCGAACAGGGAATCTACAATTTGAAAAAGGTCAGGCAAAGAGGTTTTTCAGCAATATAGTGCTCGTATGCTTAAACTCGTATGAACTATTTCAGCGCCCATTTGGTAGTGTTGAAGCATTTTTCTTTGCTGCTGTGATTGGTAATGCTCATGATATTACCGTTGGTGACCTTTGAAAAGTACATTACAATGCGACACAGTCAAAACAACTTTTACTTTGTATAAATTATTTATATTTTGCTAATTAACCGGCAGGGCGCCCATTTTATGTTTGGAACAAAACCGGAGAGTACAAGTATAACGTTTTTCGTTTCAGAAGAAGTTGACGAAAACCTGCCCACAGCTCTAGTTTAAACGGCTGTTTGGGTCGTACACTGTCACAAGTCTGTTCCTGCTAACACTTTTTGAGTATTGCAGTACCTGCACTTAAAATTAATTTTAATTGGATTATTTATTCATTAAATTATTACATGTATTTGTACAAATTTGCACTCATAATAAGCTAGTGATAGTGTGATAGAATATGATCCACATTTCCGCAATATCAGAGCTACATTTATTTCACGATCTCAAATTGTACGAGGGCGGAGGCCTTAAGACCGATCATTCGCTCTTTTTGTGACCATCCATAGATAAGCAAAACCGAATTGCCCAA